ATACATGTACATGAGCAGCAGTAAACAGACTGTGCAAATAAACTTAACTTAAACTTAGATTCTGTTCCACCTTTGCAGTGTAAAGATGGGTTTGATTGACTGGTGGCAGTCTATCGTATTGTGACTGATTGTACAGCAGAAAGTTTGAGTGAGAGGTTGAAAAGAAAAATTATTACAATTTTTATTTTTTGTATTAAATTAAATAATGTGAAAGTCTCAGATCTCTCTGTGTATTTTCTTATACATATCTGAATGTAGATGAACTACTGAACTATAAAGCATTGAAATGTTCGTTAATTTATAAATGAAAGTTATTATAAAGTGTTGAACCTTTTATATTGTCCATTAAGGCTTGAGATCAAGCTTGAGATCATTTTAGCTACATACTGTAACATCAATAAAGGCAATAATCCCATTATATAGAATCAATATTGAAATAATATAGACAAAACCAGCATAAAGTGGGGAATTCTCACTAATAACCTACTTCAGCATGATTTCCCAAGGCGGAGGCTGCATCCTCAGTCCTCTGTGAGTAAGTGGAGTGCGCTGAATGGGGTCTGGACTGGGCATCCTCCATGGCACTGTAGTTCTGATCTATCCAAGCTCGAGTCTTCTACTTGCCATTGCACGTGTTCATGAGAGGCTCCAGTCCGTCAACACTCCATATGTGTTAATATCGCGATTACAGAGTCTGCCTATCGATGAACTTCAAAGTGGAAATAACACGAGTAACGTTACTAGAAAAGAAACCGACTGGTTTATTTAACAGGTTAATCGGATTGTGACAGGACTAAACGCGACGCCTGGGCCATATGGTGCTTTATCAGACTGAAGAGCGCGTGGCATATGGTCTGTTTATAAGGCTGTAGTAAATCACTCACTGAATAGCATTACTGACATCACAGTGTTCTTAGTCCAGGTATTCTTATTTACAGCATCGTCTATAGCAGGGGTGGACACCGGCCCTCCAGGACCGAGTTTGGGCACCCCTGGTCTATAGTAAAAGATTGATTTCCTTCCTTGTTTCGTAACGATTGTCCTGGTATCTTTTTTTTTGTTTGTTTGTTTTGTGATCAAGACTTTGCCTTTTCTCTGTGATGATTATACTTTTTATGATATATCAATTACCTGACATGAAATAATAAAACAATCATGGCTTCAAACCTGTCAAATCATATCTCATGCGGAAATATCTGTAAGTTTGACCATCTGCAAGTGACTGACCGACATGTGCTAAGGTCTACACATACAAAAACAAAACAAATACTGAAAATATACGCGCTTGATCCCAGAATGCGCGGACAGATTTAAACGGCTAATCTTTTACCCGGTAGAGGAATCCGGAAGTGTCAGTGACAGCTGGAAGCAGGGTTGCCAGGTTTTCACTAGAAAACCCGCCCAATAGCTACTCAAAACTAGCCCAATTGCGTTTCGAGGGGTCCCCAGTTAAAAATCGCGTTCCGGGGGATAAAATACACGTTTTTTGGCGGGGTTCCCCTACTAAAATTCGCATTCCAGTGGATAAATATCATGTTATTGGACTGTCGCTTCAACCCGCGGACATGAAAAACAACCCGCGGCAACAGTGTTAGAGTAGACCAATTCCGCGGGAAAGCCGCGGACTTGGCAACACTGGCTGGAAGATCGTTTTACCGGTACGTCCAGCCCTAATAATAAAATGGTCCAATCCGGTCCAAGCTGTGCTATTTTCCCAACCCCTCTTCTGTCAAGTCCCACCTCCTGTGGAGTGATTGGCTAGAGCTACCAGCAACTGACCAATCTCAAGACGTCGAAAAGAGACTTGTGCGTTTATCATGATCCCATAATCATGAGACATCCACAATAGTGATGGGAAGTTCGGCTCTTTTCAAAGATTCGGCTCGGCTCCCTTAGAAGAGCCGGCTCTTACGGCTCCCAAATGGCTCTTTATTTAGTATCACTCTGAGCCTTCTATTTTAGCCCAATTTAGCAATTGTGAATGGTTTGTGTGTTGGTAAGCAATTTTTTATTCAGTGTTTTCATAAAAGCCTTATTTATTTTTATGCATTTTTTTTTCGTTACCAAAAAAATACAGATACTATTATTTAACATTTTAATAAAATTTTAATTGAACACAGAACCACAGCAAACAAATAAATAAAGGCAAAAGTCTTAACATTAAAGTATTAACATTAAAGACACTTTAGTCTTTAATGCAGGTTGACATTCAGAAATATCAGATGCCTCAGCTTGGATGGGCTGATGCGATTTATCCTCTCTGTGATTATTTGTCCTGTTTTTGAGAAGACTCTCTCTGAGGGGACCGATGTTGCAACAATGCAGTGTCTTCCTACCATTACCTTAACCAACGCGATTGCGTTTAAAGGGGACATATGATGCAATTTCAATTTTTCCTTTCTCTTTGGAGTGTTACAAGCTCTTGGTGCATAAAGAAGATCTGTAAAGTTGGAAAGACTAAAGTCTCAAATCCAAAGAGATATTCTTTATAAAAGTTAAGAGTCAACCACGCCTACCTAAAACGGCTCGTTCTAACACGCCCCCACATATCTACATCACGATGTGGGAAGGTTTGCATAACGCCGCCCAAATGTTCACGCAAAAAAAGAAGGTGTAACTTTTATTCTCACTGTAGTATTGTTGCTGCCACCATATCGTGAAGGCGCTGTGTGTTTCGTTGTGAAAAGCGAAACTACTTTGGTTGGCCTTCCAAAAGAAGATGATATCTGCTTCGTCATGCCTGGAGCTGATCCGTGCTGGGCACTGAGGAAATACATCAACTTCACGCTGTGGATCGCTGGATCAGCTTTCACCGTGGACGAAGTGGAGTCCAGCCCGGGGTCGTCACATGTGGTTGCCGCAAGCCCGCCGCGCCATTCTCAAACCCACCGGCCACCGCTCACTCAAGCCGGCCGCCGCTCACTCTAGCCCGCCGTGTGTGACGCTGTTTCATTGTGAAAACGAAACTACTTTGTTTGGCCTTCCAAAAGAGGACACGACTAGAAATCAGTGGTTAAGTTGTATTTACAACACTGTTCCAGAACACTTCAACCCAAATATTCAGATGTGTGCAGCACATTTTATGGAGGATTGTTTCCTGGTCCTGGGAGAGTAGACTACAATGCCGGCTGTTCTGACTCAAAGACTGCAAGTACGTTTTTTATATTTAAAGAATTTGCCACTGACGATTCAAACGCGAGTTTTGAGCAGTATAGAGTAGCATTCGTAGTTTGTCATTTCTCCAATCACAAATGCAGATATGGTTTTATGCTTACGCGATGCAATGCAATGCGTAAAAAGACAATATCAGTCATTATAATCCGTAATTATGTCCCCACTGGATGCGACAAATGCCTCGTTTATAATGGATTTTAATGTTTTTGTCTCGTCGCTCCGGCCGGGACAAGGCATCACAATATGGCAAGGGGCGTAACATTTCCATCACACGCTTGAGGTATTCGGCCAATCACAACGCACTGGATAGCAGGCCAATCAGAGCACACCTTGCTTTTCAGACCGATGAGCTTTGTAAAAATTGATGCGTTTCAGAATAGAAGAGACACAATAATGTACAGTATGTGGAAAATGTGTTTTTTGAACCTTAAACTGCATAAACACATTTCATTACACCAAATACACAAAATAATGTTCTTTTTAGCAACATCATATGACCCCTTTAAATCCGGATACCCCGACTCTCTCTGTCGCTCTGTGTACCTGCCCTGTACCACTACACTCGCTATCTTCGGAGCGTGTCCCCATTCCTTCTTTCATATAATGGTATGATCCTAGTCTGTCCTCCCATGTGATTAGCCGCATGTGTATTTTCTTATTTTTTTTGTAACGAAAAAATGCAAAAACAAATAAGGCTTTTATGAAAACACTAAATTAAAAAATTGCTTACCAACACAAACTATTCACAATTGTTAAATTGGGCTAAAATAGAAGGCTCCGGCTGAAGATTCGGCTCTCCCCGACGGGAGTCGGCTCTTCTCATTCACTACAAAGAATCGGCTCTTAGAGCCAGCTTGTTCGCGAACGACACATCACTAATCCACTATGTTTTATGCTTTATCCACCTTGTTTTTTTGGTTAAGGCCTATGGTTAAGGCTAGATGGCATACAGCAAAAACTACTGGGCATGCACACATCAATATAGCATAATTTTTCGCACAATGTACATCAATAATTACTATTTTTGCATTATTGTAAGGGGTAGGTTTAGGGTTGGGGTAGGTGTAGACGTTAATAAAACACAATCTAATAGGTAGAAATGTAAATGAATTGTTAGCTTCCAGTTTTTGCTGTATCCCTTCTAGCCACAACCTTATTTTTCCCTTAAAGGGGTCATATGATGCAATTTCATTTTTTCCTTTCTCTTTGGAGTGTTACAAGCTCTTGGTGCATAAAGAAGATCTGTAAAGTTGCAAAGACTAAAGTCTCAAATCCAAAGAGATATTCTTTATAAAAGTTAAGAGTCAGCCACACCCCCCTAAAACAGCTCGTTCTAACACGCCCCCACATGTCTACGTCAGTATGTGGGAAGATTTGCGTGGAAAATAATGTGTTTTTTAAACTTTAAACCGCATAAACACATTTCATTACACCAAATACACAAAATTATGTTCTTTTTAGCAACATCATATGACCCCTTTAAGATCGGGCTATTTGTAAATTTTATGTGCGAGGCTTCCGGTCTCATCCGAGTTTCAAAGCGAATTGTTTTAAATTACTAATTGGTTTGATGCAAGGTTTCAGTTTAAAAACATTGATTCTCAACCTTTATTTATGAATTGGAAATTTGTCTAATTAAAAAAAAATGTTTTGATTACATTTGGCATCTTATAATTATTTAAACCAAGCAATTTATCTTTAAAACAAAGCTGAAGATTGGATGACATGTTGTGCAATAAGTGAGCTTGGCATCCACAATTTTTTAAATCAGGTACCAAGAATGATTCAATTCATATTCAGTACAATCAATAGCACCATAGCAGCATTAAAGTTTTAAAGATAAAGAAAATCAGTGACTATGTTTCTCTGGAAGTCAAACTGCATGCATGTTAAAGGTTATTTAATAAATGTAACAAAACATCCTCAGAGTCTCCATCCTCCATCAATGATGGCTTCAGTTCCTGTTACGTAGGCAGACTGCAAGAATAAAAATCCTTTGATTATTTTTAAACATCCAACTATATTTTTAATCCAAGTGAACTGTTAAAATGGCAACACCGCTTTTCATTAGCACATGGTGTGTCTTAAATTATACAGAAAAAAAAAATACAATGGTTGAAGGCTCACCTCATCTGAGGCCAAGTACACACTCAGATGTGCCACTTCTTCTGCAGTGCACAATCTACCAGACTTCTGTCTGGCCATAAAGTCTTTAAAAGCCTGACAGATGAAAGACAAAAACACTATGACAGGGAGAATGACACTGAACTGTGTGTTTATAGGATTAGTAATCACTGTAGGAAAAAAACATTGGTTAGTGTTTGTATAAAAAAAAAATTGTACTCATTCGAAAAAAATCTATTGTTCGATAGGGCTTTCGATAATAGGCTAACAGAAAATAATAGCACCTTGTGTGAGGAAAATTATTTTCACAGAAGCATTGTAAATGTTCATACACAGCCATTCTCAGGTTTTAAAAAGCAGATGTGTCATGTTATTCTGCTGACCACTGGATCACAGAATTTAGATTCATGGCGGAAAATGGTTTTACAATTTTTACAGTACAATCTTTTTTACATTTATAATAATTCTAATACATTTACGGTTCTCATACTCTGTAACAAATGTCTTTACTGTTCTTTTTTTATTTTCCTAATTGAAAACTTTTGAATGGTAGTGTATTACGGTGTTTACAGATATTAAGCAGCAAAAATACTATTTCAACATATAGATAATATCATGTGATCATATCACTCTGAAAATTGGAGTAATGGCTTCTGGAAATTCAAATTTTCATCACAGGAATAAATTACATTTTAAAATATATTACAACAGAAAACAGTTCTTTTAAATGTTTTTTTTTTTTTTAGTTTTGCTTTGCTGTATGACTAAACATTGTGTAAAATATAAACTTCAAGCCTCATTAACTTTCACTCAGAGAAGCCAAAGCTTCTCTATAACTGCCCAAGTATATCATCATCAAAAGTTATTTGATAAGAAGTTGCTGCCATGTTTCATGTGTGAAACATCTCTGGCTGTGCTTCAGTTGGTTATTAGTTATCTTCCCTGAGAGCTCTAAAAGAGTTTTGCATTTGGAGAATGCAAGCAGCTTCAGAATACTGTGTTTCTTGGCTGTATAGTGCAATGTCTTGGTAATGGAAGCAGTACCTGCTCTGGATCAGGTCTGTCCTGAATTCTCTGTCGTAATGATGGCGTATCTACAGTTCCTGTAAAGGTCAAAAGAAGCAAAATGACTCATATAATCGTTAGGTACAGGGACGTTTTTGTATGTTAAAGGTATTTAAGTTAATATAGGAAACCAATCAATAAAGTAGCATACCAGGGCAGATACAATTGCAACGGATTCCTTGTTCCAGGAAATCAGCTGCCACTGATTTGGTCAGTCCAATGATGGCAGCTTTAGATGTGCTGTAGACACATCTGTTCACAACTCCTGGACATGCAATTAAGGATAAGCAATTAGGAGAGGGCAAAGTTCACTTGACCTGGCATTTATCCAATTTCACCATCAGCCAAACTGGAGATAATGGCGGTAAGGTAATATGCCAAGAGCTACATGGAACAATGTCAGTCATCACATGTAATTAAGAGCAAAGGGCCAAATCTTGATATACAACATGATGTATTACAGCAGCCCATGCAAATAGGTTGCAACAGAATATAATTATTACCTTTGATACTAGATGCCACAGATGCCATATTGATGATATTACCAGATTTACGAGCCAGCATCTATATGGAGATAAGGGGAAATCAGTTTAAATGGGCTGGTTGGTTAAAGTAATGCACTTCAAATCAGACGGCAGGATTATCGCATTCGTGTAGTTGTCATAAATCCCATGTTGATAATATCACTTTTTTTTTAAGAAATTCTTTTTCAGCAAGGGAGCATTAAATTGATCAACAGTGATAGTAAAGACATTTATAATGTTACAAAAGATTTCCATTTCAAATAAATGTTCTTCCGTACTTTCCATTCATCAAAGAATCTTGAAAAAAAAATGATGTTTTCAACATTGATAATAATAATTGAAATTTTACTTGAGCACCAAATCAGCATATTAAAAATTCAGCTTTGCCATCACAGGAATAAACTACATTTTAAAATGCATTAAAACACAACACGGTTATACTAATTGTAATAATAATAATTGACAGTATTACTGTTTTACTGTATTTTTGATCAAATAAATGCAGCCATGAAGAAACTTCTTTCAAAAACATAAATAAATCTTAGCGACCCAAACTTTTGAACGTTGAGCTAGTTTTCACACAGTGATGTATAAAAATCATACTAATTTGACTGACATTTATATTTCATTAAAATTAACCAAACAACAACGTCTGAGCAAGCATTTGAGTACATTTATGCCGTCACAGGGATTAAGTAGTAAACCGCATGGTAGGCATCTGTTTTGTGCTCTTAACCCAAAGAACAAACAAGACGGGGATGAAAACTTAATCTTTAAACACAAAGGTCTTTTCCAGGGATAATGGGAAAAAGAAGAGGTAACATGAGGTGTTCTGGGATAATCCTAGACAAGAGAAGGACAAGATGACCTTAGGCAGGAAGGCCTTGATCATCAGGTACATGCTACGAACATTCACGTTCATAGTGAAGTCCCAATCTGATTCCTCACACTCCAGTATTGAGCCATGATGGACAAATCTGTCAAAGAAAGAAGAATGAGAGAGAGCATGCACGTTAAATGAACAGTTCCCTCAAAAATGAAGTCATGCTTTTGCATCATTCCTGAAATGCGATTTCTGAAAGGTAAAATTAGGCAGGAGAGGTTACAAACAGAAACGCTGTATAACATTCCATTTTTGTGTGTCTGTCTATATGGCTTTAAAAGTTAGCTAAAAATATACGCTGCTTTAAAGGAGAAATACAAACCCAGCAACATTGAAGAGCACATCCACATAGTCAAAGTCCTTGGCCAGGGCCCCCACTTGGTCTTTCTTGGTAACATCAACAACTTTGGTTTTGATCCCTAAAAAAAAAAAAAAAGGGAATGAAAGAACTTTCCAGGAATCAGAAGAGCATACAGAAGCCTGAGAAGAGAAGAACCTTTGAACTAAAGCAATCTGTTTCCAACATAATGGGATTATGTGGCAAAGCAGAGCAGTATGAAAAGGGGGGATAAAAAGGCCCACCAGCCTTTGAAATCCTTTTGTGGAAAACTTCTTATATAAACATGCTCAAAGATCAAAGATAACGCTTGAGCAAATTAAAAAGCACACACATGGACCAGATGTCCATCACTAAAGTTAGGATTTGGGAGTTCTTTAGGCAGTTCGGGTAATAACAACTGAATTAAATCAAACAAACAAAAACATTCCAAATGACTTTGCAAACACTACGATAATTCAACAGTGACAGTAAAGACATGTATAAAGTTACAACAAATTTCTATTTCAAATTAATGAAAGAATCCTGAAAGAAAATGTATCATGTTTAGAAAAGTTTTGGTTTCACATATTCCCACTAGGTGGCAATACACAGCCAGTCAATTAGTTACCTGGAATACCATCCAGCTCTTTAAGTTTTTCCCCGTTGATATCTGTAGCAGTGACTTGGGCACCTTCCTTGGCAAAAGCCTGTTACAGTTAGGATGATACTACAGTTAAAGTCAGTAAACAACAACATGCATGATTAACATGACTACTTACTATTGACTCACAAGATGTTTGTTAACTTTCTCAACATCTGAATCTGATTCAAGCTTTTCACAGTAAGATGGGACAAATGTAATGCAAAATTTTCATCAAATCCATTTCTCCTGATAACAGATATTTTACAGCTCAAATTGAGCAGGGTTAGTGCACACAGCAGCCTGGGCCGATATAAAATCCTACCATATCTAGACTTTCAATAACACTCCACTGGTGAGATTTCATTTGATGACAATTTGTTAAATGACATTTGTTCCCACCATGTGATCTGCCAACTGGCTCAGGGCTACAGTCTTTCCTCAATCTGTAGTTTTTCTCATTTAATACTCATTTGAATATTCACTTGATATGGAAATGTATTCACCTAGCAGGTGTGCATCTTAACCACCTCCAGCGCTCTGCTGATAACGTGCTGTTGACTTCTAGAGAATTTGCCTAAATGATCTGAGACACTCTATGATTCACCCCTTAATGATTTATTATAGCATTTTCATATTAAAAATGGTCGTAAATATAGGAAATAGGTTGCAAAGACTAGAAACATTCTACCCTCAAGCTGGTTTCAACATTCTTCATACTGTGTCCCAAGAATCCTGACATTCTTAAAATGTCATGTTGACAGCCCTTGCATGACAAGCTTTTATTCAACAGGAAAACACATAGCAATTGTAAACCCTCAGATTAAATCCATTTATTATACTCATCAAAGTGGCATGCAGGGCTGTCAATAAGCCACAGCAAACTTATAGAGTTGTAAGGAGGATGTGAAATCTTCGAAATGGATGTAAAATTAATGGTTACTATAGCAGAAGCTTTTCCAATGCCTTGTGCTGCTGCAGAAAGGACTATCACTTTCCCATCCAAACGGCCCATTGTCTTCAATAAGAACCTAAACGTGTAGAAAAAAAGCATAACAACGCAAGGTTCATAACTTAAATGAAATGCTATAAAAGATAACGCATTTACCCTTTTAAAGTCACAATGAACAGCTCGAAAGGCAATGTTTATATCCCAGTTTAACAAAACCTGCATGCATTGAGTTTATAAAGCAGTTCTCGTTTGCAGCAAATGACCGGATAACCTGGTGATGGGTAATTGTAGGTGATGAACATTCAGGAGTGTACGATTAATCCCGAAGCATATAGATATGTCATGCATTATGCGACGTTAATTTAGTTATGTTTCATTATGAGTAGCAAGCGTGTCACGTGACGAGCGTAAAGGTAACAGTGCAGCAGTAAGTCTAATAAATGACTGTAAACATACAAATAAAAAGACGCCGTTAAAGTGTAAGCGCAAGTTAATACTTCACAGCTAGTCAGTGGAAAATGTCAGAGCCTGTTTACAAGAATGACGAACAGTGGAAGAACTTACTGACAACTTCTGTGTTCCAGAAAAAAAACACACGTGACGGACCAACGTCCGTGTAGCAGGCTTCAATTTTCTATCAAAATAAAAGTCATATAACGTTGAATTGCATAAAATGCGATCAATTATTGTACCACAAATACGTCAACATAAGGTATAGGAAATATGTGGTTTTAAAATATTATTTTAAAAAAATTAACAACAACCATAACAGGAACAATAACAACAACAGTAATGATTATCGTGATTATGATGATGATGATGATGATAACATTACTGGAGAAGTGATAAACGTAGCTCTACTCAGAATGAAACAATAGCCAATAATAACATTATTAGAAACTGCTAGGTAATTAATATAAACTTTCAAGAAACATTTAGACAATGGTGTTTTTCAAAAGGGAGAGGAAAAAATAACTGTTTTTATGCCCTGGCAAAAATGTGGCAAATTGCATATTTCAGTGGCACTAAGGAAGAAGGAAATCTAGATGTCTATTTCGGTGCTGCATGAAGTTTCAAGAAGGTGGTGTACTGTAACACAACAGCATCAGGTGTAATGGCTGGGTAATAGAGAACTAGCATTAAACAGTGATGCCACAGTTTAATAGGCTTTTATTTTGAAATGAACATTAACTGACATAACTTTATTTTTTTGTTGTTCAAAATCTCAAACCTTCTTGGGGTGCAAGGGTCAACTACCACCATACCATTATCTTTGCATTTTAGTAGAGAGAGAGAGAGAGCGAGAGAGACAGAGAGAGAGAGAGATGTTGTTTAATGTTTTGTTTAATCCATTATTACCCATTTAAAAAATAAACCTAAAAGTGTAAAAGAGTAGTTCATGAGTTATGTATACTAAGAGCACATAAAAATGTGTTGTTGTTGTTGTTTTAAACTTTGATAATGGAGTCACAATTTGTAGAGAATGAAGATGCAGCTTGACATGATTCAGTATGTTTCTATTTGCTCAGGCACACCACTTAGGGTCATGATGGTCAAATAAAAAGGCTAAAGGAAAAATGACTTTGCTTAAAGACTCCATTCTGCATTTACTGTCAAGAGGTGCTAGGACCCAAATATAATCTAAGGTCACCACTTGGCCAATGCAGTGCAAAAAACACAAATGGACCTACAAGCAAATTGTTTGACTCTTTTGATGTTGAATCTATCCCATCATCCAATTCACTGAGCTGAAATTAGTGCTTTGTGAGCTTAGAGGCATGAAAATAGACACACAGTGCTGCAGTGAGATACATCTAGAGGGTCTGTGTAGTTCAGTGGATGTCTTATTAAGGCTGTAGGAAACCTTTAATGGCTTATCGATCCTGCAAAAAAAAGTGGAGGTAAATAAGGTTTTTATGCCTGGGGCTTCACTTTCTTTTTACATCACAGGCTTGCCATTAAACCATCCATTCCTTTGATTCAAACACATTAATAGATTTATTTATTTATACATGAGCACGTTACACAAGAAGAAAAGAAGTGAATACGTGCAGTAGTAGATAAATGAAAATAGCAATTTTGTAAAAACAAAATTAGAGTTGGAAAAGATGGCAATGTGTGGCAATGTGTTATTCATTTGTTGATTCTGAGTGGTTAACTCATTAAAATAGTGGTAAAACCATTATTAAAGCCATTAAACCATTAGATGATGAGGACTATTAAAATAATTATGTATCATAAATATATCATATTAATAATAAAATAGTATATATACAATATATACTTTTATAATTGCTTATTTTATAAGCAATTAAATTAGAAATGAAATTGTTTTTAATTTTTTTTGTTGTTTGCTTCCCCCTTAGAACCTACATCATTTTGGCCAGAGTGGATTGACTCTGGTGTAGTTGGGTTTATGTTTTTGTTTTTTTTCAACCAAAGAATGAAAATTGTGCCAACCAACCTCATTCTTCCCTATATGTCTATGTGGACATACATCATTTTTAAGATGTAATGTCATTTTAGATGTAACATGCATTGAGTTAAGCACTAAAAGTAGCAATTGCCTATTTTAGCAATTATTTTTATTTTTTATTTTTTTTTGATGTGGCACAGGTACAAGTGAGAATTGAAAAAGAAATCACTTTCATAATGAAACAGCACAGAAAAATTTCCAGAGAAATGATAGTTCTATATTTTATATTGCATAATATATATTACAATATTCTGTCAGTGCACAACAGTTTTTCATCACTGTTATGGCTGGTATCCTGATATGACTAATTTGTCACATTGCACAGAAGCTTGAACCACTGTCTGCAGAGATTAATAAATTCCTTATTGTTTGTGTTAGATTTAATCCTTTTAAATCAAGTTTTGGACTGTAAGAACATCGTATCTGTTTGATACCACAAATAACGTGAAAACAAAAATAATTCAGGCTTCCACAGCTTACTGATTCATTAATTTCACCCCATGTTGCAAAACCAACACATCATATTGATTCCAAACCCACAGACAGATAAGTATTTGTCACAGAAGAGTGTTTTAAAAAATGCATGCACAGAGAAACACCCATAAAGTCTGTGGTATTGTTAATTAGCATCTTGACACCTTAAATGGAAAGGGCGCTCCTTAGAAGACTGGGTAATTGATTTCTTATTATTTTCATATTACTGTAGTAAGGCATATCATTAATCAAATACCCTTAATTAGTCTGAGCTGCAGAGAGTAATGTAACTGTCTGATTCGTCCTGCAGTAACATAACTTTCATGTTAAGATTTATCTTACTTTCTTTCCACAAATGGGCTTGACTGTTTCGATTGATCACAAGTGATATGTGAGTAAAGTGCTTGCCTTTTTAAATCTACTTTTAATAGATTTCATTGTAAATCAAGCCATTCTCTAGTAATGAGTCTGAACAGAACAATATTTGAAGGAAAGAGACCCACCGCTGAACTGTATTTCTCACCATGCAGTGATTTACAACTTTGACATTTACAACATTAGCAGATTACCCATGAGTTTAGACACTTCCTAAGACACATCACTTCTGCAAAAATCGGTTTATAAACATCAAATGATCAATATGTGTTTTATTGGCTGACTGAATTAGTTGTACTTTCAAAAACAAACCTGTTGGGTCCTTATTCATCTCTCAGTCGGCCTTCTACTCTAAAAGGCTGCATAATCTTTAGGTATTTAAAGAGAAATTTCTTTTAGATAAGGATGACAATGGGTGGGGAACAAAAAGAAGCTGGAGCTTTGAAATTAAAAAGCAATAAAACACTGTTGTTAGAGTCCTGAGACAGATTATATTTTTCCCTTGGTTTATTTGTACATTTTCAGCATGCACACAAATGTATAAAAAAAAAAAAAATTGAATGATATACACTTTCCTGACACTTGTGAGATGAACATGTTTTAGCACATGCACTGTAAAAAAAAATCTGTAGTTTTTACAAAATAATTTTGGCAGCTGTGGTTGTAAAAGCTGTAAAAACATTTACAAACAAACTGTACATTTTACAGTATAAAACTGTAATTTACAAACAAGAAAATTTGAGTGTAAACTAGTAACTTCAACAATGCACACTGCTACTAAAATCTGTTTTGTATCTTTAACATAAATTGACAACCACCATAATAATGCAGGTCGTAAAAGAGACAGCAATATGAAGAATCAGTTCATCACAAGTAGCTTTTCCACAAGCTGAAGTATATACTAATATATAGAAGACACACAGAGTCATTCACGCAAACACTAAACACCATCATGGTAACACGCATGACACTTAAATAATGCAATAAACATTCATTAAATAACAGAAGATGTAACATAAATCCACATAACTGATAACAAACGAGACAAGACAAAAATGATTAAGAAACATGATTATTTAAACAAAATACTTTCAGATGTGGAGTGTCACGCAGGGAATTCTGGGAATATCAGTTTACAGTTTTTTACTGTAAATTATATGTTATTTGGTCTTTTTTACTTCTAAAAATTGTACAATTAACAGCATTTTACTGTAAAATTACATTAAATGTCTGGTTAGATCTTTTACAGTTTTTCCCTGTACATAGTACAGGAATTTACTGTTTACCTATTAAGAGTTTTTTCCGTAGCATTTACAATATTTTACAGTTAAAATTGCACTAATTGTTTACAGTGTGGCTAACACGCTTCTAACGTTTTAACATGTTGTTAACATGACAGGCTAGTTGCTAGACTTTGCTAGTGATGCTAGGTTGCCTGGTTAAATAGTCTAAGAGTTAATATTTGAAAGTTTTGACCTCCTCAGTGAAAGCATTTTCACAGATTTAATCATCTGGTTTACAAAAACCACAAGTCTGATCAATTAGAAAAGATACAGCATACATATACAGTAGCATCAGAATATCCTGAGGTCTGACTTATTTATATACTTATTTATATACAATTATTCTTACTGATTTATATACAATTTGAATGTTGTTTGACACGGCTAGTATTCTCTCAAGAAAATTTGTCTGGTTCTGTTGTTAAGGTTTCAATGCTGTCATTTTTTTACATTTATGTAGCTATTTGACACTTCAAAATCATTAAATTATATCTTTTAAATTAATCACCTTGACACTGCTAGTACCATGCTTTACTACAGCAATGCTATTTTTTTGTAGGTTTCATCCATTGTTCTTTCAAAATTAATAATTTTGATACATTTAAAATGTCTTTCTGAAATCCTGTTTGACAAC